TATTAACAGATTTTTACCCAAAACTAATCAAATCTGCGCATTAATTCAGAGCATCCATGTGCCAAGTTTCATTGAAATCCAATGAGTGGTTCTTCAAAAATCAGTGGAACAGTCATAGAACAGCTTAAAATCAGTTAATTATCATGCAAATTAGGTAATTAATATTCATAGATTTTTACCCAAAACTAATCAAATCTGCGCACTAGTTCAGAGCATCCATGTGCCAAATTTCATCAAAATCCAATGAGTGGTTCTTCAGATATCAGTGGAACAGTCTTGGAACAGCTAAAAATCAGCTAATTATCATGCAAATTAGGTAATTAATATTTATAGATTTTTACCAAAACCTAATCAACTCTGCGCATTATCTCAGAGCATCTATGTACCAAGTTTCACCAAAATTTGATTAGTGGTTCTTGAGATAACGGTAGAACAAAAAAAGTGACATACATACATACATACAGACAGGGTAACTGCAAAGACTCACTTTTGTGCTTCGCACACGGGAGTCAAAAATGAAAGAGGGGGATAGAGGATGGAAAGTTGAGACTGACCTTCCAGATCCATTGAGTTGAGAAATCCTGTGTTTGAGTATCTCCTCGTCACTAGATGTAGTAGTGCTATTCAGTATAGGCACGCCAATAGAATTATTAGTAATACTCACATCGTCAGTAAAACAGTCATCTAAAACACAATGAGAGATTTGATAAACGGACTACAATTCATTTTAACTGACACAGAATTCATCAAACAAGTCTTTCAATGTGTATAGAAAGATAAAGATTTTTAACTACCGGATTCGGCTGATACCCTGCCCTGGGCGATCTTATGGAGGATTCGATTTTTTTAATAGAAAAATGTGGACCAAAAGATTGCCCAGGCGATCTTTTGGCAGATATTACGAGGCCCATCTTTTTTTGAAAAATAACCCTGCGTTGATAAAAATTGTCTAGAAAAAATAATGTTTCGCGTTGACCAAATATAATCATGCAAAGTATAAATTCAAAGTATCTTAATACATTGGTGAGAGGTCGCATTTTACGTGAACAAGAACATGCACTAAGAAGGAAAAGCAGGCCAAAGTCGAAACGGGGTGCATCATGGACATGACACAACACACGCTGCGACAACTGAGTGATCAGCGACATCATTTTGGAACGCAAATGAACTTCAAGTACTTCTTTGCGAAACTTGCTGCGCGGCGATGCTGGCATCAAGTGTGTGTTGACCGAAGTTTGACCCCAAGTCACGCACTGAACTGGCGCGTTACCTTAGCAACCTTTTTCTTTTGTGGTCCGCGCGTTGATCTAGTAAAATTGTTATTATATCCAACCGGTACTGTCATTACGCAACTTGTATGCAACTCTGTACTGGCTTTGAATATATCAACGTAGTTTACTTTAATAGTGCACTGCTTTTCTAATTACGCAAATTTGTTTACAATATTGTACCAGCTCTGAATATTTCAACTTTGTAATGTATTGCCTCCATGATAATTACGCAAACTCAAGTTAATTTTTACTATTGTTAGGATGCTGACCCAGGGTATTGGGTCTGTGAATATTTCAATATTACCGACTTAATAATGCGTTGCATTCGTAATAATTACGCAAACATAAACATGGGCGCATTTAAATCATTAAAAATGATAGTAGTCGGGTATCTACGGAAAGTCAAGAAAATATTTTAAATGGTGATTTTTTTATTCGAAATGAAGTGAACATGTAATATAAACCATACCATGTGTCAAGTTATAATAAACTCTGGACAGCGCACTTCGATCGCAATATTCACGTACATTTCGACTGAACTCTAATAACCACGCGTTTGAATTACGTGCGGCATTGGGCAATGACATCCAGAGTTAACCCATTGATATTTAAATTCGGGCCATCCAGCTTGACGCAAATCAATATAGTTACTTGTCATTTGTTAAAAAAAATCTTTCAACTCTCACAAATATAATGAACGCAAAAAGTTAACTGGGGGTTAACTGAAAGGAAACGTCTTTTTTGGACAAAAAACACATCAATACAAGATTATGTGTGCAAGGTTAGATTTATAGAACGTACATGACTGCTTAATTCTGTGTTTTTTTTAATAATCATGTCGCATGTGAAACGCAGGAGACATTTTAGTTCGCCCATTTCTTGTTTATCGGAATGCGATACAGACAAAGATTAAACATTGCTGATAACAACCAAGAGGCTCGAATCCGGAAAGCTTGGATGTTTTAAACTTCATAAATAACATTCTTTTCAAGCGTAGACTTTATTCGAGTGTAATAAATGTAAGTGAAATGTATTTTAACGAGTCATAATACGCAACAACAATTCGTATACAGCATTGGTTTTATTGAAGTTTTAATGCTTTTCGACTTCACAGTGAATTATTTTAGCATCATATTTGAAATAGCACGCTCGATACAAGATGTCGAACGGGAAAATTGGGGTCTGTAAAAATGTTTGTTGGTTCAGTCAGGCAATGTGTGGATCAAAACATCGCCCACTATTTGAAACATTGCCCATGGGCAGGGTATCAGCCGAATCTGGTAGATGTGCTAATTACCAAGAAGTGCATCTCGAAATAAAGAGCACATACACATTCATTGTATAGACACACCTCTGTCATTTATCCAACTGCATGATCTATTTAATAGAGCAAATTCAGTATTGGTTACAAGAACAAAAGAAACAGTCACTGTGTTTTATGGTTATTATCTCAAGTCTCAAGAATGCCAGTGTCCGATGTTTACTGCAGTTTTTTCAATGGTCTATGAGCCTCTTACCATCAGAGAAACTGTGATCCCAATATGAAGGATGTTTTTTAACTGTTGGAGTACTGGTACTTTGTGGTCCGTTTGTCTTCTTGGTACTGTGTGCATATTTGAATGGTGCAGCAACAGTCAACCATGCCATGAGAAATACCATGTACAACATATGGTAAAACGACACCAAACCACTCCACTAAAATGACAAATACACATGAATGTTTATTGTATGAGAACCTCGTATGGATATTAGCAGATGGTTTCCTTTGTAATTCAAAATAACAGATGGATAAAAGTGCTACATTTACTCAAAGGGAACACTGCTATAGAATAGGATCATCTAAAGTAAGTATTATAATTCAGGCATTACCAAGTACTCTAATTTAGGCGTCAAGTGAGAGTAACCTGACCTGATAGGTCAAGTCAGTTTATAATCAATCAAATAGCTGGATTGTAAATGCCAGACGTATTTGTTAACATCTAGATATCACCAATGGCAAAGCAACACAGAAGTGTTGCATACAATCTTTTGGGATTGATTTTCGTGGCAAAACAGCATGTTTTTTGTTTTTTTTAAAAAGACATCTAATCATTTTACATTCAGGATGTGAATGAAAAGATCAACCTACCATCTTTCTTGTCAACAACTCCCTCCTTCTCCTTTTCCACTCTCTTCTTACAACAGGTATTGCTAAAATCTGATCCAGAGTGGGTCTATGTTGAACATCTGGGTCCATCATAGTGTAAATGACATATCGAAGATCATCAGACAAATCTGAAATGCAGCAAATAATCCAGAATTAGTAAAATGAAACCTGTCTAAACCAAACCTTGCCAAACTGGAAATATTAGATAATTGAATACTCATTTCGTCCCTTCTCCACAAACTATAACATAACACATCGCCTAATGACACTGTTTTTCCCATACATTTTGGCTATCAGTGAAGGCTTGCAGCAGGAAATGTATTAAGACAGGTTAAACTGCACATGTTTTTTAGTGATCTGAGGCCAAAATTACTAAAAATGCTTTGAGGAGTTACTCAGAGTATACAAATAACAGCATTAATGTTCCAGCATTGTACTTACTTTGTGTAATATCTTTAGGTATGTTACCACTTCTCAACTGATGCCAGAGATCTCCACCTTTAGGTAGTTCTAAATCACAGGCCAACTCCAAAAAGGTAATACCAAGACTATACAAGAAAACCGTCAAGTAAGTAATATATTCATAAGATACAACAGCAGCATGTATCATTGTTCACCTCAAAAAGGAGTTGGGCGAGTATCCAACAAATCAACATGTCTACTGATTGAATTCATTAGACTTGCTAATAACATGATGGTGACAATGGTGGTGGGGGTAGGGTCAAGCAAATTAAGCAATCTATCCAACATTTAAGTGGCAACATTTTTTTCACATTTTCACATTCAGTTCAATGAATTAAAAACAGGAAACAATTTGCAGACCAGCACAACAGTAACTATACGAGAGAATGTTGGCATTAACCAATTTCTTAAGAGATATATTGAATATAGCCTAATGAGAAATGTTGAACATTTGGCAAATTTGCACAACTATAAAAATGTATGGGTTCTACCAGAAAGCTATAGAACTCACCTAAATACATCTGCTGGCTTTCCATATCTACCTTGTAGTATTTCTGGTGCAAGGTATTTAGGATCACCTTCCTGGGCCTCAGATAAATCACCCTGTGAACAAAAATGGGATTCTCAGACATTGATTTTTAATTCAGCACAAGGACATGCACTTAATACAAGTCTACATCAGTGTTTCTAAATGGTTACTTTTGTACTAATTTTATTCTAAAATGTACTGGTAATATGATCAAGTAGTTCATCCTTTGAGTCAGTGCATGAAACTTCACTATCATTGACTGCACAGGATTGTTAGGGATTCTGGACAAATAACTAAGATACAGGTAATTGACATTAATTAGGTTCAAGCCAAATTCTAGGGTGTATATCTTGGTCATGCTTTCATTACTATGCTATCAGAATACCTAAAAAGCAAGAAAAAAGAGCTTTTTTAAAGAACAAGAATCCAAAATATCATGGAAAATGGCACAAATTTGTATTTTCATTTTTTCTCAAAATTTTGCCGAGGAATGTGTGAGGAACTCAATTTGAAAAATAGAATGACGTGCATCAAGGTCCCATTATGTACAAAGTTATGTACACAACTGAGTATTCCATGGTTAAGGTACAGCTGGCTATAGTATGTGATATTATTTGCATAATTAATGAGCTAAATCATTCAACACATCTCTTTGTAAATGACCAATGAAAACATTAGATTCTAGGCAAGTTTAATTGGTAATAGAAAGTAAATGAAAATCTTATCATGGTCTTATATCCTACCTTGTCAAGTTCAAGCATTAAACCAAAATCTCCAAGTTTACATACTCCATCAAATGACACAAATATATTGGCAGGTTTTATATCCATATGTATCAAGTTATGATTATGAAGATGTTTTAAACCCTTTTAAAAAAGACAAAGCAGTTAATATGATATTGTTACCAATTGAATAGAGTATCCAACATGGATAACATTAGCTACTCCACCCAAGTCACAATTGTACATCTGGAGGTCATCCCTGCTTTAACAAAACAAGTTAATAGAATCAATTGCAAAATCATGAATGTCATAAACTTTGGTATTTCTAAGGGAAACCAATTTCAAGACAAACTTCCGTATTGAGGGAACTATTTTCTTAGCTTCTGTGAATTTCAAGCCGCAGGAATTTAATAATTGATTTACTAACCTGAAGAAGATCGATAACAGTGTCCCAGATAACAGATTCTGGTATGTCATGATTTACTTCAGAAAATTGCTGCAAACTGTAATACAAATGATTGTAACATACTTTAGGCCCCAAAAACAAGATTTATTTCTGGTTAGTTTTAGTATGGCAAACCTAAGGGGCTGTTATATATCAAACACAACAATTATTTGCAGAATATAAGAAACAAAAATGATCAAAAGACTTTTAAATAATTAGTAACAACTGGGAAATTTTACAGTAGTGAAATTTTTTGGGGGGTTCTATGACACAGAATGTCAGTGATTTTTGCAAATTTTTGTTTTCAGAAATGCTAAAAAAATTTCAAATCGTGAAAATTAAATTGTTTACATGAAGTAGTGAAGAAAAACAGCAAAATATTCTCTTTTGTAACATTTTGCCAGTGAACAAGATAATGTAAATATTTGAAAAGAAACAAGAATCCTATGTGTGTAATGAAATCCATGCTATTCTGTGCATAGCAATTCTAAATTGGTTTGTTCAATCTGGAACAATAATTTTGCAATATTCAATGTTTTATCATTTATAGAAATAAATCTGACAAGTTTTTCATGATCTTTGTAACTATGTAAAAGTTTATTGTTTATGAAATATAGATTTTAAGTTGTTGTACCTCATGTGACACAACTCAGTCAGTAAATAGAGGTGTCCTTTCTCTTCCCATGCTTTATGAAACTCCACACAGTTCTGGTGTTTCGGCAGCTCTTCATGCTTTTTTACCTCTTCCAGCTTTCTTGTTCTGAAACATATCAAAATTTAGGGAGAGTTCACAGAGATAAACCTCAAGACATTATAACCCAATCATGTTGACATTGACTGAAAATGCATTTAAAGATATCAGATACAACTGAATAATGAAGGGAAGGCTTTAAACAAACAACAAACTTTATGTAAACTGTCTTTTACCTGTCACATTCTCCCCTGAACTTTTCTCTGAATCTCTTGACAGCATAAAATTTTCCATCTTCTTTACTACAAACTTTGAACACCTATAGAATAAAATATTGACACGACAGTAAATACAAAATCCTAGAAGCAGGGACAGATTTTTGCTAGAACAGTAACTTGTAGAACTTGCCTATCACAAATACAGATTTCCCTCACAGGAAAGTTGCTAATGTTGTAAAACAAAATTATTTTTAAAACCTCCCCATGCAACTTAAATATGAACCAAGAATATCATGTTTCAGTTGGGTTCCTATTTCCAAACTTGTTCATAAAAAGAATTGTACATTGTATAGGCAACTTTAATTTTGAGTCGAGAAGTGAATTATTAAGAGTTTACAAACATGTCTGGCAAAAATAATGTCACAAACTGAATTATGAACGTGAAAATCATCAAAAAAGAAAACATTTTACCTCTCCGAAGGATCCTACACCAATTTTACAGTCAATCTCGAAACACTGGTCAAAGTAAAGATCCTGTATTCCTTCATTATAATGTGGACTATTTAAGAATGCTGATCAGTTAAAATAAGGATGTAATAATACAATGTATTTGAGGCTAACACACTACATGCTTCACTTGAACACTGAAACCTGACTAAGATAAATGCCTTCATACACATTGTGTAAAATGCCATAGTTGCTGTTCAACACAGGTTTAAGTTTCAAACAATGCATTTCATATGGTACTCATATTGAACATCTAAAACAAATTGTGGCGCTTTAATATAAAAGACCCAATACAAGGTTAATTTGAAAAACAAATCTGCATAACGATTTAAAAAAAAAATATGACAAGCAAAATAACAATTTGTCATAGAAAAACAAAAATGCAAATTAGTACAAACAGTACAATATGGCCACAGTGCTTTGTTTTACTGCTTTTGGTCTGACACCACCACAGTAATTATCCTACTTGGGATTTATTTTTGCTAAAGGGATGAATCAGTGAAAATATAATCCAGTGAAAATATTTTTTTTTACATTCAACTCATCAAAAATCAGCAAAAATCAATTTCACACAAAACAACCAAAATGTCTTTTCCACAAAAATGAATTTAAGCTAAAAAAAAAAAAAGTATTTAACAGTATTGAGTAACTGCCACAATGGTTTATTTAAATGTGCCATTGCTGATTTTTGTTTTCTGAATAATTATGCCAATAAATATGCAAATTTGTGAAAATTATTATGTAAATTTGTTCACCGAGTATGGTATTTACTGATGGGTGTTAAGACACAAAGACTTGTTCCTGCAATTACATATAGTCTGGGTAATAAGTTAATAACAGAACGCAATGTGTCTATAAATACTCAAGTACATATTAAAACCATACAAAAACTATTGCGATAAAAGGATACAGCTTTCAGAAGATCTGAATGACACGGCATGTGCTTTCTGATGTTCTTTGAATTTATGTGGAAACAGTCTACTAATTGGTGGAGCACTTTTCACAGGAGGTCTTGGAGGAGCAGTGTCACGTGGAGTATGCAAATCCTAAAATAAAAACAACATTATTTTTTACCAAATGTCTATACCCGGGTACTTGCATGTTTATGTACATGAAGGTATGAAGACTGGAGTCGCAGCAAAACTGATTTAGGTTCAGACCTTATCTCCTTTTAGTTGATTTGATTTGATTCGAAAGATCATTACCACATACTAGTAAGTTTTGAATTGTCTGAAAAGCGTGCAAATACATGTAGACTTTTGGGAAAAAGGACAGTGAACCAGGAGAAAGAAACAGTGAGAACAACAACAGGGAACAGACACCCAATGTCCCATAATCAAAATCTGATTGAGCCACTAGAGAGGAACACTTCTGTAAGTTTAAAATCAACAAAGATGCTACCATAATTTATTTTAGGCATTATAAACAATAATAATTACGCAATGAAAACAAGACTGGAATTTGAATAATCCAGAATGACAGCAGAGTTGACTTTCAATGAAAGTGTTAGTGTCCAGTGCTACAACAGATTCTTTCAGTTTTCTCCCAAAACAATTTTAACATATAGTTACATTGCCCATATGTTTATGAATACAACCACGTATAGATCACTTTGCTTCACACCAACAAGTAGAAAGAATTGGAGAAATCATGACAGAAACAATCAAATGCAATTGAATCGTTCTAGGGTATTTTGACCTATTAAACAGGGTGAAAATTGTGTGAGAAAATACCAAAAATGGCCATTTTTTAATTAATTCTTACATATAGCAAAATGATATCGAAATGAACAACATGTACTATAAAGATTTTTAACATTCAAGATCACAAGCTTTCAACAACAAAAAACTTTCAAAGTAAGTGTGAATCAGGTGGTATCAAGACCTGCTCCTTCAATTCACACTACATTTATTAGTATTTGGATAATAAAGCGGGGGAGTCGTCACCTGCGCATGCGTCAGATGGCCATAGCGTGTCAATGTTTATAAACAAGCGTCTACGCACAAGCCTTTTCGTTTTTAGCGCGTGTTGTTATGGTCAGTTGGAACACAATTCCCGGGCGTGTGCAGGTGACGACTCTCCCTGATTAATTAAGTAACGATGTTGTTCAACTTTTGACGAAATGGTAACTTGGGAAATGGACTTTTGATTATCAAAAGTACATAATAAACTATAAAATTACATAATAAACTATAAAATTTGATTTTCACTGGCCAGTGAGATGTCCAATTCAAAAAACAATCACTTGTCATCTGTCTCAAGGTAATCATGGTTGATACTGAGAAAGTATACCATGGACTAGCCCTGCGTACAGTGCTGTGCGTACGGGGACGCGTTCGGTTGATAGATGTCCCCACCACAGCCCTGCGAACTTCCATAGACAAAGTCCGGGACTTTGAAAAATATAACTTTTTTAATGAAATAATATGCCCAGGTACCAAAAATGATGATCGGTTACCAGATATATCCAGAACTCCCAGTTCGGAGTCCAATTGTGGATGAAATCGGCTACTTTGCCCTAAAAACAAACACATTCTCTC